ACTCTTTCCATTTCGAATTTGCTGAATTCATTCTCGTAAAAAGCCGGTTTCTTTAATCTGTTTTTGCTCGGTTGATATTTCAGCTCGTTGCTTGTAAAGCAGAAGCCTTTCTGCGTCTCCACCAAGTAGAGGATTCGGATATGTGCCTATCAAGCCTTCCCAGATTGGATTATCATCCTCAGTTGCCTTCGAGGCTCTTCGGTATGCTATCTGAAGCTTATGTGCTCTGCGTTCAGGCTCAAATCGATATGGCATTAGGAAGGTGAGCTTCAAAAATGCATAACCCGCAAGCCCGATTTCTAGTTTGCGTCTTGGTTTTTCCTGGTGTGTGAGTGGGGATGATAGGTTTATTGCAGATTTGAGAATGCGGTTGTAAAGGCAGAGAAAGCTGCGATGATCGACCATACCAATCATGATGTATCGTCGGTGGTAAACGTAGTGAAGACTGTGGTGAGGGCACGTACCCGAGGAAACGAGCTCTTCAGTTCTGGGAGATACTCGGAGGCATGTGAGGCTTACGGGGAAGGCCTAAAGTACGATGCTTTCAACTCGGTTCTGTACTGCAACAGAGCAGCATGTTGGTCCAAGCTTGGTTTGTGGGAGAAATCTGTTGAGGATTGTAACCAAGCTCTCAAAATCCAACCTAATTACACCAAGGCTCTTCTACGAAGGGCTGCGTCATATGGAAAGGTGAGTTCAGAGCTCGTTCATTTCGATCGGGTTTTGTCCATGACATTGAATAGAATGACAATGTGAGTTATGTTTCCTTGATATGGTTAAACTATTCAGCTTGGTCGGTGGGAGGAAGCGGCCAGAGAATACGAGGTGTTGAGAAGGGAACTCCCGGGAGATAGAGAGGTTGCGGAGTCATTACAGAGGGCGAAGAACGAGATGATGAAAAGCTCTCACGAAGCTAAAAGCGTTGGATTCAATAGCGAAGTCGAGGAAATCTCGAGTTTGGATAAATATAAGACAGCGGCATCACTTCCGGGTAACGTTTTAAACCCGACCGAACTTGTCTGAAGATCGATATCGTCTTGATCTTCTTCTTAACCTTTGTTTTTTTTTTTTATGCTTGCAGGGGTGTCGGTGTTTCACTTCAAATCAGCATCAAACCAGCAGTGTGAAGAAATATCTCCATTCATCAACACCTTATGCGTCCGCTATCCGTTAGTACATTTTTTCAAGGTAAAAGCGCACCTTCAAAGGCGTTAACTTTATACCCATATTTACAATACCCTTTTGCCTTCCAATTTCATTTTCTAACAAAATGTGAAGAAAAAAAAATCCATCTTTCACCCAATAAAAGATGGGAAATTTTGAAAATGGGCATAATACATATGCGAAGTAGAATCTAAGGATGATTTTTGGTTCGAGCAATGTAGGTGGACGTGGAGGAGAATATGGCGGTGGCGAAGGCGGAGAGTGTAAGGAAGGTTCCGACATTCAAGATTTACAAGAACGGGGACAGGGTTAAGGATATGGTTTGTCCGAGCCACCATTCGCTTGAGGAATCGGTTAGGCACTTCATCTTATAGCCTCTCTCTCTCTCTCTATATTGTTTTAATTTTAAAATTTTAGTCCCAACATTATGTTTTCTTCACTGATGATTCGATATTCTTGTCTTAGGCTCCAATTGCGACATAGATCGGTCATATAAATTCGTTTTTTTTTTTATAAAAAAAAAAGTGATGAGAGATTTTATGAAAGGAGCTGTTCGCATTCGACGAATTGTCCATTTGGGAATGTTATTTTAAGAAATGCGAAACCGGTGATTGTATATTTATTTAATTTAATATAATGCCGTATAGTACGGAGTCGTCGGTCGGTGCATGCATTTGAGGCGAAAACTGTATATAACATAAGAGTGGAACCGAATCATTCTGTCTACTCCACGATTTTTGCTTTTGTAGGGATTGGATTAAATATTTTAAATTCCCTTCTTCACAAAAAAAAAAAGAGGTACCAATAAATAAATATATAGATTTTTTCTGCAAGCATCTTTGCGTGGGCAATTTATATTCTCTCCAAGAACAATATGATGATGAACATCATCTAAAATGGCGTTAATCAGATTAAGGGTTTGATTTTTCACGGACTGGAAAACCCAGTTGATGGCATCCTTCATTCGAATTCGAAACCGGAATATACAAATCTCACCAGCGACAACTGACAAGTAAAGAACCTTCATGGGATCATGCACGGTCTCTGAATGGAAACAGGCCGACCATTGTTGTTCTTACCACAATGCTCGGATTCATCGGATTAAAAACAGAAGAGGATAAGGAGACGTGACACGCAAGGAATCTAGATCAACAGATTATGACCACAGGAATGAAGCTGCGCTTACCATAGAATGTAAGTAATGGTAATGGTTCAAACCCAAGACACAAGATGATAAAGTACATAATCCCAGAGAACAATGGAAAGTTAAAACCCTAAATTTCACTGATTCACTTCACTCGCATTCATCATCCTTCTTCATCACTGCAGAAAGAAGATAGAGAGATAATAAGAGCAACAGAGTCTTTTTCATGGCAAAACTACGGTTTGTGTTTCGAATCTCTTAGCTTACCTCTGCATCATCATCTCCACCTGCACCAACTTTTGCTGTGCCATTCGCCTTCGGCCCGTCTTCTGCTGCACACCCAATTTACATCATCATCATTATTAAACATCCATCACCACAGCAAAACTGGTAAAACAAAGAGCTTGCAAGATTTCAACGGTTGGTTTATATGTGGGGATGTGGGAATTTGCAGTTGCAGTTATATATATGTCATTTCACACACTCTGTTCATCAACAAACATCCGTATCTTGAGCAAGATATTAACCCGACAGAACCATGCAGAAGAAGCGACGATGACCATAACCAATAACCACAGCAACAAGACCATGCATATAAAGACAACAACAGCAGAAACAGACGCCGACCACTAAGCTGGTTTTAAAAACAGAATCAAACCATCACAGTTTAACAGCTTGCTTAGGTCCTGAATGATTATCACCTCCATCTTCTGGGATGTCAGAGGTCCATAATGTCAGATTGTCCCTAAGGAGCTGCATAATCAATGTGCTGTCTTTGTAGGATTCCTCATTAAGAGTGTCCAGCTCTGAGATAGCTTCATCAAACGCCTGCTTCGCAAGGTGGCAGGCCCTGAAGACACAAAAAAAAAAAGGCACTTTCATGTCAAATAACACCCGAAAACAGGATTCATTTCTGCAGAAATAACCAGCTGATTCTGAACCTTTCAGGTGAGTTCATGATCTCGTAGTAGAAGACGGAGAAATTCAAAGCCAAACCCAATCGGATAGGGTGAGTAGGTGGCAGTTCGGCCTCAGCAGAGCTGGTAGCAGTCTGCAAAGAACAAGAACAGCCGAAAATTGAAGCAGCAATAACAAGAAGTTGCAAAGACAGAACAAGAGGGAGGTGCAGCATTCTAATGGTTCTTGTGAGAGAGAACATTAGATGATCACAAGAAGCTAAATCTAAAAAAGATATGCACGGAATCAAAGAGTTAATAGAGAATACCTCATAACCTTTCATGGACTGATCACCAGCTTCTTTCTTCTCGTTGCCTGATTTGAATTCCGCAAGATAACGGTAATAGTCTCCTTTCCTGCACACCCAAGAATCTTCAGATACATTATTACCATATTAAAAAAACTTAGCATAATGTTCCGAAAAAACGGGTATATATCATGTAAAGCATACAAAAAAACGTCCCTTACATCTTATAGAAGAAAACAGTGGATTCACCAGTAGCAGCTGAGGGAATCAGATGATCATCTAACACAGACATAATATCACTGCAAATGTTCGTAAGCTCTGATTCAACCTTCTGCATATATTCTTTGATCCTCTTAACGTTAACTTCATTTCCCTTCGCTGTTTCCTTCTGCTCGATCGACGAGAGAATCCTCCATGACGCTCTACGGGCACCAATCACGTTCTTGTAACCGACAGACAGCAAGTTCCTCTCCTCCACTGTCAGATCAACGTTCAGTTTCGCAACCTTCTTCACCGCGTCCACCATTTCTGTCAAAAATCCCGAACAAGCGTTCACATTTCAGATACCCAACTAGAAAAATCGAGTCTTCATAAGTCAACATCTGGCCGAGAAGGTCGGAAAAGGAAAAGCCCTCTCTTACAATCAAGCAATAGAAAACCAGACCATCGACTTTCGACGATCAAACAAAGTGATCGAAGGAACCCACGAATCAGACCGAAAATTCAGCAAAATCAGACACGAAACCGAGCTGGAAAACTGCACAAGTAACTGATCAGGAGAATTCAAAGAGCTCCAGAGAGAAAAAACCTTACCTTCGTAGCGCTCAGCCTGCTCAGCGACCTTAGCGACGTAGACGAAATTTTCACGTTCTTTGGACGAATCCATGACCGATCTCTTCAAGCGGAAACAAAAAAAAATACAACTTTGAAGACTCTTCGACTGATTCGAGACTGTCTTTTCTCGAAAAGAAGTCTTGCGATCGCTGTTTTTTGTTCGCTTGGTCGAGGGAGAGACCGAAGACGGATCTTTGAGTCGCCAGGGACAAAACTGTAATTAACGCGAGTTTTCGGTCTAATGAAGATTTAGTAAAACTCAGATGATTAGTTGTGACCATGGGCCCCACGCAACTACCCAATCACATATTGACACGTCATCCATTACGCACGGTCCAATTACATTATTCAACATATCCATTTATTCACCGGAGGCAAAATATATTCCTGATCGTATAAAGTATAGATATAAAATTTCTTTAACAGAATAATAAAAGGGAAACCATTCGTATCTATTAATAATTCAATATAAACACTCCAGACGTAGACCACACGTCAGCAGGTTCGATAGAGAGAGAGAGAGTCTTAGAATAATACAAAAGGAAGAGAAAGAAAGTAAAAAGCGACTTCAGCCGGTGTTCTGCATGCCGGCGGCGATTCCCTTCATGGTGAGGATGACAGTGTCTTCGAGGCCAGGTGCGTACTCGCTCTTAGGGTTCAGCCTGACGAGCTCGGCCGCCGGCTTGCTCGACTCCGTGTACTCCCTCGACAGGTGCGGCCTCACCTTCACGTGGAAGCTCGAATCCCTTATCTGCTTCAGCGTGTATGCCTGGCACACGTTCAGCGTCGTTATGTACGGATCCCTCAGCCTCAGCCTTTGCCTCAGGTACGGGTCTCCTTCCAGTATATCCTTATGTCCCGCCACCTGCACAACCATTCCCCCGTCGTTTCAGAGCTTCTGTTCCCACAAAAAAAAAATGGTGGAGCTGTTCGGACAGGACGTACCTGGAGTAGGAGGCGTTTGGTCGCTTCGTAGTTTGAGCGGAGCTGCTGTCCGAACGGTTGGAGTTCTTCCGAGACAAGGAGCTTGTCGTACAAGGCCGCGATCCCGGGGTCCCCCTTGGCGAAAACCATTTCGACTAAGTCGAGAGTCACTCGGAAGAACGGCCAATGGTTGTACATCTCCTGCAGCATGTGGAGATTCTTCACGTCTTTCTCGATCACGTGTCTGAACGCCGCTCCAAAGCCGAGCCAGACTGGCAGGTGGAACCTTGTCTGAGTCCATGCAAATATCCAGGGGATCGCTCGGAGTGACTCGATCCCCCCACTCGGCTTACGTTTCGACGGCCTACTCCCTATGTTCATCCGACCGTACTCGAGCTCTGGCGTTGCCTGCACCACACTCGAACCGAGAAACATTATAGTAGAGGAGACATTAGGTTATGTCACATCAGTTATATTACAAGGTAGGGTAAAGGGTGAATAAGGAGAATCTCTCACCAGTCGGAAGTATTCGACGAAACGTGGCTCCTCGAAGACGACGGAACGGTATTCCCGGGTGGCGATGACAGCCATCTCGTCCATGAGTACCCGCCACTCGGGCTTGGGTGAGACCGGAGGGTGCATCCCGTGCTCGAGCGTTGCAGCCGTGAAACGCTGGAGGGTCCTGAAACACAAATGCTCTTCTCCAAACGACTGTTCTATGACTTCGCCCTGGACTGTAACCCTCAGCGACCCGTGAATCGTGTCCGGAGGTTGGGAAAGAATGGCGAGGTGGGTCGGTCCGCCTCCTCTTCCCACCGTCCCTCCTCTTCCGTGGAACATCGTCAGCTTCACACCGAATTCTTTCGCGACCTTCACGAGTTCTTCTTGTGTTTTGTACAGCTGCCAGGCTGCAGAGAGACGGCCTGCGTCTTTGCCAGAATCCGAGTACCCTATCATGACTTCTTGTTTTCCGTTGATCCGATTCCTATACCAATCGATCGAGAAGAGACGGGCAACTGAGGCCGGAGCGTTTTCTAGATCAGCAAGCTTCTCGAACAACGGGACAACTCTCAGGGGATGAGTTATCCTACATTCTCGCTGCAAGAGCTCGACAGCGAGTACATCAGACGGGGCAGTCGCCATCGAGATTATATAGGCACCGAAACTATCGGGAGGAAGCTCTGAGATGACATGGAATGTGTCCAAGACGTCGGCGATTTCTTCGGTTTTGGGAAGATCACGGCCAAAGAGAGGGCGTTTCCCACTGAGCTCGGACAAGAGCCATTCCTGTTTCTTTTCCTCTGACCATTCCTTGTAGGATCCAATCTCTAAGTGCTTTGTAATAGCATCCAAGACATCTGTGTGTCGGTCGGATTCCTGTCGGATATCCAATTTCACAAGTGCCAGCCCGAAGGTGGAGACTTGACGTAAAAAGTCGAGGAGGCTTCCGTCAGCAATTGATCGGTCACCGCAGTCGCACAGAGACCTGTAACAGAGCTCAAGCGGCTCAAGGAACTTCAGGACGACGAAAAAAACAGAATCAAGTCAGTTGGTTCAGACAAGAAATCAAGAACAGAAGTTAAAATTCTCGAAAAACAGTTGATAGAACAGGACGAACCTGATCCACATTTGTGAAAACTGCGTTGTCGGGAATGTCTGAAACTCCATTTGACAGTAACTGGCGTGCATGCTCGCGCGTGTTGTACAACTTGTCCCTCACATCCCCGAGAACTACTCGGTATGGTTCAGTGGGCGGAATCTGCTTCCAGAATTCTGCACCCGGCCGACATTATCATCAGACAAACATGTAAAATCTCGGGTTTCGAGTGATGAATACACACAAGAAGCTAGCAAGAAGGTAACCTATGTAATGCTTTGCATCCCTCTTCGAGGAGCTTTGAAGTTCTTCCGCACGGATACGAAGTTCCTCGTTGCAGCGCCACATTGACAGCTGCAAACACGGCACAGAAAACCGAACGTTTTTTAAGATCGATCTCTACATGCTTCCTCGAAAATGGAGGGCGGAAAGAGAATGATGTGATGAGATATTATATCATCATTTAATACCTCGAACATAAGATCCTCTATCTGAGAGAAGTAGAGGTTAGCAGCCATCATTCTGGCTAATAAGCATACGTCTCTCGTAACTTCGGGAGTTACTCTCGGGTTTCCTGAAACACGTAATTCCAGAATAATTCAATAATCCGGACAATCGAGCAAGCAAAAGAAGGAGAAATCCGAAAAAATTGCAGATCGTTTCAGAGAAGAAATAGTACCATCACGATCACCGCCCATCCAAGACGAGAATTGGATCAGAGGGGCGTTGTAAGGAACGCGTTCGTCGATCCCGATATTCTTCAGTGCGGTGTCGACACGTCGCAGGAACTTCGGAACGCCTTTCCAGATGGTCTCGTGGAAGTAGCTCATCCCTGCCCTCATTTCATCCTGCGGAGTCGGAGGAGTTCTCCGTATCTCGTCTGTCCTGAAAGCAGCTTGAATCTGGCATCAACCCGAGAAAAAGAATGTTACTGACATCAAATTTTTCAACGGAAAAATACGATAACGAGATTGCGTAAAGTGTACCTCTCTTTGCAGGGCTTCATCGAGTTCTTGTTTATCATCAGGAGTAATGTCCTTAGCATATAACTGTGTCAAACAATTACGAATCCTGGAACATATGGGGGGAAATCAGATTTAAGTGAACGCTGTAGCATATTAAACAGATTCAGAAATATCAAGAAACTGGACAGCGACAAGAACAAACCTCCCAAACTTTTGGAGCAAAGACCGGCGAACAGATTGAGTCGGGTGAGCCGTTAGGACCAAATCGACGGTTTGGTTTTTGAGAGCATCGAAGACCTCTTCGGGGGATTTCTTCAACTGCAAAAGCCTCTTGAGAGTCTCTTCGATGTCTGATTCCGTAGTGGCAGATGCCTCGTCGGCAAAATCGCCTTTCTTGAGTTTCTTGATCCTGCGCCGGTATGCGATCTGGACTTCCTCGGCCAAGTTGGCCAAGCTAAGCATGTTGGAGAACGACTTTGTGACCACGATCGAATCCCCCGGGTCAAGACTCGTCAGCATGTTACCGAGCTCCTCCAACTTCTCCGTGTCCCGCTTCCCGTCGTACTCAGCTGCAACCTCGTAGCATTCTTGAACCTTCACAGGACAAGAACACACCCGATTTCAGAACTAAACCCTAAATATCCGATTGAAAAAAGTCAAACATTTTTACATCCAAAACCCTAAACCCTAAATCGGACAGAACCGAGACACAGTTTACGAGCTATTGTTTTGGTTCCATAAGCATCTACGGTCTTGGGACAATGAAGAATACAACTATGCAATGCAGAACGCACAATGTGGAACATCCAGAAATTAGACATTCCTACTCTATAAAAACTCCTGAGAACAAAACCCAGAAAACCAAAACTTGCGAAAACATCATCGTAACAGCCAGATTACATCAAATCCAGGAACATGATCTTATGATAGATGTCCGAAATCACTTCTTCCCAAGTCACCAAATTGACCCTTTGGGGTAAATTCAACAAAGAAATCCCCAAACCCACCTCATACTTCCTACCCCGTAACCCTAATCCATCTCGATTTCGATTCTTTTTTGCGTATTTCTGTCGTTTAACTCCGCAGGGCAGAGAGACATGCAATGGCGGCATGAACAACAACGATGAAGAAAAGGAGAATTACTGAAAAAAGAGAAGAAAGAACATACGAATTCTCTGATTTCCTCGCCATGCAAGTCTTGAAGAATATCCAGAAAGCGATCCAGCAACAGAGCGTCGAACTCCACGAGCTTGTCGTCTTCAGACACCTTCCCAGGAGCAAGAAGCCTCAGCTGGACATCTATGGAAGCCATCTTCTCCAGATTTCTCGCAGCCATGGTTACCCTACAACACCTTGTTTTTTTTTTTTTCTCGTGAATCTCTACGGAACCTGTTTCACTCAACTCAACTGCAATTTATAGAGAGACTGCTTCTCCCAACTCAAACGGGTTTCCTTTAAATCTCAGAGTTTCAGATTGAAACAAACGGCGAAGATTACGGAGTGTCCAATAAATATGGATTCAGCAGTATGATTAAAAGTTAAAAACCATATAACAACAAGGATAATTGCAGTAAATCGAAGGAAAAAATTAAAAGGAAACAAGAGTGAAATTCTCGTGAAACCCGGATACGGATAAGAGAAGATCAAATCATCAAAGAAGAACTACGAAAAGGGTACTCACGGAAGAAAAAAAAGAGATGAAAACAGGACAGATTGGAGAAAAAGTTTGGGACTTTATTAATTTGTAAGAACTGAGTCAATATGCAGTTCAGCAGTTGTGGTTTATTTATATAGGCCCAAAGTTCTAGAATTTCGTCCAAGTCAAGTGTCTTTATGATTTGTAGATTTAATGCATGTGAAAAATAATATTTTTAGATTTCTTTAAAATTACTTAACCTCCTAAAATTTACAAATTTACAAGATTTGTAGATTTTTAATTTTTATTATTAACTAGTAAGGCAGCCAAGCTTTTAGATAATTTAATATGATTTTTGGCGTAGAAGATCTATACAAGAAGTCCAGGGGGGGAAAAAACAGAGTAAGCTACTGTAATTTAATTTGTGTTCCAGTGATTTCGTCAAACTTGAAGCTCAAGCAGGGCTACTCAACTTTGTACATATCTTTTTCAATAAAAATTTTGAAACTTGTATTTTTATAACGGATTATGTTATTTTTTATTGAATTTTTTCAAAAAAAATGGAAATTAAATCTGTTTAAAACTGTTATATTTATTAAATGCTTGTATTTATATTTTATTTTTCTTTATATCTATTTAATTAATATGATTTATTTTTAAAAATATATCTACTTTTTTACATTATCATATATTATTTTGTTCCGCTGTTATATGGAAATTGAAATAGATGATCTAACGGAAACACCTACAGCGAGATTCTAAGACAAAATATATGGATCTTTCTGTATGAAGTGAGTTAATGTTTCACTGCAAATCTGCAGGTCCCGTGGTTTCAGGAAGAGGGTCTCACCAATTCGTCTTCAATTTTCTAAATATTTATTATTACTATTACTACTCATCAAAATTTATAGAAACGTGTATACACGTGTCGGAAGCATGCACAAGGAACGGCACGAGGGATAATTCACGAGGGAGGAGGTGGAATATGCCAAAGCATATACATAGCATGAGTTTTATATCCTTTATTAATATGCTACGTTGGACAACTATTTTATTACTGATATATTAAAAACAAATAAACATACTTATTCTCCACATAAATAAATCATGTAAAGTCTGAACCTTTGATATATGCGGACATGGTTCCATCCCAAAAAAGAAAAAGGTTAGCACTTGATTGATGGAGTATCGTTTTATGCCGAAGCATATATGTTTTGTTATAGATTTCTTCTCATTTTTTCTCTATACATATATTTTTATATGTTTCATAATGATTGCTTGACCAACCAAGAAATCTATCTATATAATTTTGTATTATCGGTTTCAACAATACAATTTTCATTTTATTTGTAAACCCGATTTGAATGTAAATTTAGAATATTATATATAATACATGAAAACGTAAAATACCACACAAAAATGGGGGAGAAAAAAAAAAGAAAACAACTAATGGTGGAAAGAAAAATGCCCAAGAATTGTGGAAAAAGACATAAATTTCAGCTTTAAACTTTGACTCTCTCTCTCTCTCTCTCTCTCACTATATATATATATAATATATATATAGAGAGATATATAATCTTAGTTGATTCCGATGCTGAAAAGCAATTCACCAAATAAAGATTCTATTCTAATGATTGGATTCCTTCTATTGTTATATTCTCCAATTAAGCTTTTTCCCGGATTCACATTTCGTATATTATAATAACAAAGCAAGCACTGTATATGTATAAATGTGCAATTAAATATATATGTGCGATTATTCTCTAACTATTCAATTCAACACAAATTAATATACGAAGTTGTATACTATTGTTCGATTCTAACATCTATTCATATACAAATACAAAGTTCAAAATTCATATATTCCTTTTTGTATGTGTGTGTGTGTATATATATATCATAATGTCGGGATTTATTTTTGGGCTTTGGGATATATGAAAGGCCAAGAGGTTTATTAATATTCGGACTTTTAAGTTTACTCAAAAGACGGACCAAAAAAAGGTGCACGTAACAAAACAATATTGTGCATGAAGAAGACATCGCTCTCTCATTTTAACTCCTTTACGTAAATCTCCGCGACCCACGATTCGTTGTCTCTTGTTGTGACATTTCAAAAAAAAAAAAAATCAAATAATAATAAGATTTGAAAAAAAAAATACATATAAACTGAAATGTCCGTATGGAAAATGATATTATTCGTACGTACGTGACGTTTTTTGCACGATAATTAAATCCCACGAGAAAGATGCGATGCGACCATTACATCAATACACTCGTTGAGGTCCAACCACATGTTCTCTCCCCTCGACCCACTTGTGCTTACTTTGAATGAAACGTTATTATATATATATATATATATATATATATATTCGTGTCGGAATATATTCTTATATGCTTACTGTTCTTCCATTAAAACCTGCAAATTGCAAATAAAGTTTGGATTTGTAGCTTTAAGATTATTATTCGTTATGATGCAGACAGAATTACATATTTGGTTTAATAGGGAAATATAATCTCTGCATCCAATTAATCTGCCCACGATAGAGACTTTTTATTTCTATTTCCGAAACATGGTAACTATATTCAATTTTAGTAATTATTCTTCCATGCATACAATATAATAGGAATACGACAATTCAGATATGCAAGGGCCCGATATATTGGACTGAACCGACACCAACTCGAACCGTAGAGATAGAGTTTGTATTGGACCGACCAAATTTAAGTGTCACGACGACAAAAGCCCAAACCCAAATATATACTTAATTATTTTTGTTTACCCGAGTCTTCCCTGTACCAAAAGTCAGGCCCATTGGGCCCAATTTGTGTAAGCTCGTTTATAAAACATGAAATGGGCCGGGTCGGGTCACGTCGGATCCATATCGAATTACTAAAAACAAATACACGGAATGAAAAGTGTTGAAAAGGAAAACTACGGGTTTTTCAGAGATCGCAAAGCAAATTAACAATTTCTTATTTCGTGATTTCGGGGTTTGCACATTATGAAATTTGAAAAATACACACCACATCTCATTTGTTTTTATATTCTTAGGTTTTCCATATTAATATTATTATATTTCCTTTTTTATAGGTTTTTATCATAATGATTCGAATATAATATGAGATTTCGTTAATAGTAATAATATATTTATTGTTTAGAATATCAAATATGAACACCGAATTATCTATTTTGCAAGTTTTTGTTGGGTAATAATAATATGACATTTTCCGGCATAATATATTATTTAACGTTAGATATATAATAGAAACTGGGATACACATATACTAATATCTCCTCTAAGAGATTTGATCACTCAATTCTTTTGTAGTTCAATAACTGTAATAATTTAAGTTTTGAATTTATAAAATTCAAAATGATATATATATATATATATATAGTGAAGGATTACCAACACGCTGGTATTACGAAAACAATAGAATGCATTACAATAACATACGACGTTTGTTGAAGCACAAACGAAAACATTAGTAATAAATTTTTTAATCAAATTTATGCAAACTAAATTAAATTATTTAAACTAATTTTAGTGAGATTACATGCAATTTCGAAAGGAGGAGTTAAAACTTGTTCAAAGCTTTTACGAAAACCTAACACATGGGATGAATGATTAAGATTTCTTTTCCGAAAGGCGTTAATCTGCCTTTCAATCAATCAAAAACCAACTGTAAATTATCGTGTAATTGTTGCAATTAAATTTAAGATATCAAAAATCAAATCAGCAAAAAAAGAAAAGGGCACAAGTGATGGAAGACGAGGGAAAGTGGGAGAACTAATTAAGAACAATTATTTGTATAAAGGGAGACGACTGACTTCCCCTTGAGGCATTTCGCAATGCCCCCACAATAAAGCACATATAAAGACAAGTAAATTAATCGGCTATTTTTCATGTCGACGACGGGATATTAAGTAACTCAAATTTTATTAAAAATATTCTTAATATATATATATATATAAACATCTTAAACTTTAGGGTTTCATGTCGACAATGGAATATTAAGTAACTCGAAATTTATTAAAAATATTTTTAATATATACTCTCCCCGTTTCTTGAGAAGATGACGTTTAAGAGAATATATTTTGTTGCTTAATAGATATCGTTTTAGATTTCTATCTGATTTTTAAAAAATTTAAAATTTTACCCTTGATTTTAATGACCAAATTTGAATAGAGTATTAATGAGAAATAATTTAATGAGGATATATATGATTTTTTTTTTATATAGTTTCTTAAAAGTGTGAAAAAATATACAACGTTAATTATTCACGAACGGGGGAACAGAGGGAGTATATATTAACATCTTAAACTTTAGGGTTTCATCCACATTAATAATATATAGAAGGATATACATATGATAAAACAAATCATTCGGCAACCGCGCACAACAAAAATAAATTCAAGGAATAGTTATAAATTGCGGGATTAGTTTTTTTTTTCATATCGAGTTAGTTATAACATTACAGATAACAAAAATAAAATATATACAACCATTTTCAACATTAATTAAGAGAGTTTTGTAAATTGGATGGGGAGGGGGAGAGAGAGAGGGAGAGAGAGAGAGAGAGAGAGAGAGAGAGAGAGAGAGAGAGAGACTTAGCTATCAACAAAAAGGGGAGCAAGGAAAAGATTTGTGGGGGTGAGGTTAAGGTGCGGTTAAGGGACGAGTCTCGAAAAGGTTGAATGCGAAGAGGAAAATATTCGGAATGAAGGGCACTCACGAGACACGCCCCTATTTTTATGTGCATTTCAATTAGGCCCCACTAATTCTTCACCTTCTGATTTTGACCTCTTTTGTCCTTTTCTTAGTCGGCAAGCCCCTATTCCCTTTCTCCACACATATATAGAGATATATATACATCCACACATATATAGAGATATAGATACACCTACTCGCTCCTCCTCCTGTGGTTACCTCGGCTGTTTTCACTTGAATATGTTCCTAGGGCTCTTTTCCTTTCTTTGTCAAAGATGGTTCTTTTGCTTACAGATTCCTTTTTTTCCGCTTATTATTCATTTATCCGAGGTTTAATCAATTTTTTTTTGATAAAAATGTTCTTTTTTAGGTGTAACGTTTCAAAAAAAAA